AAAATGTTTTGTCTATGTGGACACCTTAGATGGAGATAAAACTTTGCTACTATATATATAGATTAACTAATAGCATAAAAAAAGATCGTCGTGCATGTGCAACTAAACAAAAAAGTAGCAAAAATGTTTAGTAGCAACAACAATGTATTATACAACTTGAGCTTATTAAGGTCAGCTTTAGCAGTTTATTCGAACGTGTACATATACACTGAGATTTCATCACTGCGAACATCCCGGTTCAGTGCAGAGCCTGCAAAGATGCATGTTGCCTCTGGGTAGGCTTCGGAGATACTGATTGCAGATGCTTACCTAAAAGAGTCATTGGCTAAAAGCAGGTCCGACCCAACTGGATGTGGAACCCAGTGCTGGGTAATAAAAATTTATGCTTTTTTCTTAATCTAATAAAAAATGCCTTAATTTACCAAATATTTTGTTTTTTTTTGAAAAAAAAAAGCCATAAATTTGGGTCAAATTTTGTTTAAAACGCATGGGCCCAATGCATTTGCACTCCTTGCCATGGACTTGGGCAAATGCATTGGGTCGGGCCTGGCTAAAAAAGTCAATGTGAGAGAGATATAATATGACCTCATCCGTTGATATGTCATGGCCAATCATAGACCAAAAAAGTTTTGTACAGTTTACAAAAAGACGTTTAGCCATTTCAGTGCCATTTTTATCAAGGGATTCCTTCGCTTGTGATACTGCTTTAGATGCTCGATCTTCACTAGAGGATTTCCCATATCCCATCATAGATGCAATAGCAGTGGGTAGTAAATACATGAGATTTGGTGAATCGAGTTTTTTCAAAGCTTGTTTCTACAAAACTAAAACAAGACAAACAAACAGATCGTAACATGTAAACAGAAGATGTTAAAATATCTTAGCACAGTTTCATGAGGACCAAGAGCGTTTCATGTGCTTAGCATTGTAATACTTTAAAAGAGCCTGCAATGCCACAAACAGAATGGAAATGAGGACCAAGACCTCCAATCCGATAATTTGGATAGTTAGTGTTGAAAACTCAATGATCAACATGAAGCTTCAGATTTTGAAAGCTTTTTACAGCTTGGGAATGGATTTGAACTCCCTCCATGGGGAAGGGCATTGAGACAACGCCAATAGTAAAAACGTTCAAGTCTTTTGCAAATTCAACCACAATAGGAGCTGCGCCTGTTCCTGTGCCACCGCCAAGTTCTGTCTGTAATGAAAAAAAAATATTTAGTGATGTTTAGGATGAAACGCATTACTAAGCCTAAACATCACTAAATTTAGTTTTGGGAAGTTTACTCAAACAACATTGGAAAGTTTGATTTTGATTAAGTGATGTTCAATTTTTGATAATTACTTAAACAACCTCTTGTACTTATTTTGCCCTTATTTGCTTTGATAAAAAAAACGTATTTACGAAACTGTCATTAATGAGGCATGACACGTAAACAAAATTGGTGGAAAATGTTCCCGCCCAAAAATAAAAAGTCTACCGTTCTCGTGATGGTAGATTTATTTTATGATCGGTAGATTTATGATGGGATTTATGAAATCATTGTAATGTATGATTTCTTATTATAGACTTATAGTAGGTTGAATTTCTTACAACAATCTAAGATCTCAAAGGGGGTTTGTTCTAAAACATCAACCAAATGCGAATCTTGAAACCTTTTTTTTGCCATGTTGTTTGTGATGTGCATGCATATTTCACTTGATCACTTTCTATATATGACTCAACCATGAAGATGCTTTCAAATCCCAACAATGATCACTTTAAGTGGAGAATCAAAGTCGCATATGTGAGATCAGAGTCATTATGCTACTTGAAAGATTCATATTTCTTACTTCCCTTGAGAATTTCTAGAAATCATGAGCATGGGAGATTCCCATTGAATCCTCTTTTACCAATTTAGACAGTAATTATGAACATCTTTATGTTCGTGCAAGTTTTCCAAAGCTTTACAAGTCAGCAACTATTCACTTGAAATTTACTACAATCTCATTTATATATAGATATAAATCTTAAAATGACATGTTACGATACTGGTAATGTCAAATATGGTTTCTATATCAAGCTTTTGGTATTTGGTCATTCATTTTAGAAAGTGGAACATCAAGAAAGTGGAATTATATAACATTTGTTTTCATTCTTGTTTCTTCAATTCAAATGAATGGTGACAAATGGTTAAAAGTGCTTTAGGCATTAGCCTCAATTAGAATCGACTCGAGATTTGGTGGTAAGTCCTGCAGGTTCATATACAAAAAAGATGCAAGCAAAAGTCTTGTAAGTGATGTTTTACAATTATAGCAATGGAATTTAACATAACTAGCAACAAAAGTTGTGGAAGTATTTCTGGTTTTTAGGTATACCGAAAAAATGGGTTTTGTGTGGAAGTAAGTTCATAGCCTACAAATGTAACCTTGCAAACTGTGCGAATAATATTTGCTTCACTTTTTGGTGTTATGATGTTATGACTTTTTCTAGTGAAGGCAATTTGCTCAAATATAACCGGACATAAGGCTCGTTATGTCTCTGACTGATCTGGTTTAAACCAATTGATCTTGATTTAGTTCGATAAATTGGATACACACAAATAAAACTTTAGAAATTTTAAAATAACTTATAGCTTTTACCTATCAAACTTTAACTCTCATAATTCACCACATCTACTATCTCTCACATCCTCAATTTTATATTTTGTTCTTATTTGCTTTACAAAAATAAATAAATAATAAGTGATTTCTTTTTAAAGCACACCCATGTTTAATGAGAAAAAGAAGTCAAGTCAAATTTTTACACGT